AAGTTGCAAGTCTTAAAAGAGGAACAAAAGCGAAAACATTTGCGCAAATCTTCTCTAACGCTTATCTCGTCTACTTCCTTTCTCTGAATGATACCCTCTATCCCCTCTCATCAAATCCCTCCTTATCGCTGCGGTGTGCTCAATTATCACAGGCGGCGCCACCACTTATAATAACGCACGGACAAAAATTAGCGATTCCGCCTGCTGCAACAAATGCACCATCGAAATTCAGAATCGACACACACGGAATCATAAGTTTTCGTACGCAAACCCGTCGTGGGGAAAGGCAAGGCAAGGCAAAGCAAAGAAAGACAGCGGAAATGCCAATGACGTGCAACCGACGTCATATCACTGTCGAAACAAACGAAGAAGCGGGGCACTCTGCAAGCACGAGATATCTGTGAAAGGAGGCCTTGCTCAATAGGACACTGATCGGAAAGACGATCCAAGGCAAGTCATTTCGAGCGTCCTTGTGGAGACAGGGTCAGTCACGAATCTATTGTGTTATTATTTATCAAAAATACTATAATACTTTCATTTTTTTATTGATACGTTATTCCTTCTTATTGCCCGATATACATTGCATAACTGGGATTGAGAGGATCGTGGTTATGAGTTAAATATGAAAATAGTTTAATGATGCTGCGTCTTCTCTTATGGAGGGAATTACGGAAAGAAAATATTAAAAGTCAACCCAAGTGAATTAACATCTCGTAAATTAGTAAATCTGAATCATTAAAATTAGGTAAAAAAATAAAATCTTGTATCTACCACGGGCGAGAAAACCCCTAGGAAGTTTGGTCGGCGCGCGATCATTAGAACCCTTACAACGCCCTTAGCGCATAAATAACTATTATTATTAAAATTGACTCGTACGTCGCAGGATAAAAAAAGTAGAGGTCCCAATAGGAACCACACATGGTTTTGGCAGAAATTACGCTGCACCGTAGATGAAAACATGCACCTTAACATCAAAAGAGGTTAAAACGTATTTCACTCCTTAACAAGAGCCATCAGTTATTAGATAAATGGCCTATTTATTAAATGCAAAATATGTTAATAAATAACATTTTATATCGAACTAAACCCAATCGCACTTTGTGGAACCGACATAATAAACGTGCATGCGAATTGTTGCTTGTGAGTCCACAAAACGCTGAATTTAGACAATAAAAGACCCTTTATTTCCAATAACAAACAACAAAAGGTTGTAACATCGTTCCTTCGTGCCATTAAGACAATACAATCGGCGATTCTTTAAAAACATTGATAATTAGGTCCGACAAAATGTTATCAAAACACTCACAACTTACCCACGATAATCACTAACTCCCTCCCACACTTTTTTCAAATACAAATGGTGCCCTTATCGCTATGCGATTAAAAAAATCGCATAAACAGAGAACATTGGAGTGAAATTTCCTTGACAAACGCTCCGAATGCACGGTTGCATTGCACCATCAGCGGCTGCTTCCAAAAGTGCTTAGTTGCGAACCAGACAGCGTTGGTTCCTGTACAATTCCTGTAGAATTAATCTATGTAGAACGAGTATGATTTCAATGAGTACAAATACGGCGTTGCCTTAACTCAGTTTTTATTCATTAACTAGAATCAGCTTTCAACGGTTTACAGGGTGATCGCTAGTCATCTGAATTTGTTTTTCCTGCGGTTTCCATGATATCTTACCGTAATCTTTCTACATAGCAGAGTAATATTGTAAAAATGTCTCAGAGCGAAATGAATTAAAACTATTTCAATAATAATGATTCTAACCTTAAATAAGAATTGTTCTACTAGTTTCGAACTATTTTCTTCATAACACTTTCTTGAAAAAAATTTAACCCGGAATTCAATACCACTTATTTTTAAAAAAAAATATTTCGAAAAAATAAACATTAAAAATTCGATTTAAAAATCTTATTTTGTCCTAATGACATAGTAGACAAATACCATTGTTTAGAAACCTTAACAAGAACTTCTCCCCTGTATGTTTAATTTTGTATAGAATTCTTACTCTCATGCATAATACAAATCATTATTCAGTTTTTTTTATTTATTCTGAAATGTCTTATTACCTTGGTTGTTCTTCGAATTCGAAGTAACTGAATCAACTTCAAAAATGTGTCTTCCAATGAAAATCCATACACGTATCTGAGGATGATATGATCCTGACCCTAGGCAAGATTTCCGAGAAACCCCTGCCCGGAGGTGGAACGCACCGTCACCACGAACTGTGACGTAGCCAAGCGCTCTTGAAAGAGAAGACTCAAGACTCCCGCGAACGTGCTAGGAGACGCACGGACGTCACTGCCAGGGAAAAGGGGTCATGTCCCCCCGCTCTTTTTTTATTTATTATTTATTATTATTATTATTTTTATACGTAAGGGATGTGATGGAGAGCCCCCGGTAATCTGCGCCTATTGAACCTTCCTGCCCCCCAATAAGGTGCTGGTGCGCATGTGATGTACGTCAAAAGGCTACATCACCTCTTCTCATACGACTATTTTAAATCCCAAGAACGCATTTCGCATGGGGTAAAAATATAATTCGTGAATTTTCGCAACACGTGTTCACGGCCTCCTGCCGGATAATAACTACAACAAACATATTAATGGTAGGTAGTCATTACCTGGCTTCCAAACAGCAGGTAACTGACATCGATGGCTTAAACCTTCGAAAGCTGCTCTTGCATTCAATAATAATGTTGGGTAAGACAACGTCTCTTAACAAATGTATACAAACGAATTAAGGGAATTGTGCAGTTCACTCAACGCAAGGCTAGCTAACGGTCTGATATCTTCTATTAAAGTTAAAAAGCAAGGAAATTGTAACAAGCGCGTGACTAGGATTACCAGAGTCTGGTTGAAAAAAATCAGGATCTTTCGATAATAACACACAACGAAAAGAAGACCTTACGCGTGACCAAAGTACATTTTACTATTTATAAATACGTATACGGTGTGCTTCCCGTGAAATCATGACAAAAGAAAGATGCGTGTAATTGCAATTCACAGCATCTCCATTTCAGCACACTGTGCTCACTTCCAGAGAATTTTAGAAGGAAGAAGACATTCTATGGAAATGAGTTTCTTAAAAGGCGACGCATCTCTTGGTCTGCGCTACTCCTGCAGTTTGCCAGGTCGATTTATCATTTGCCATAAGGAACTCCCGCAATTCAATGGATGCTATCTCATTGATGTTTCTTGGTGTAGTTGAAAGTGATGTAAAAATTGCATTATCATGAAATTGTATTCTAAAGATTGTAAAAAAATCCCAAAGAGCTCATATTTGCAATAATACCGATGTTAAATGATATAAAAATCATTAGAAAATGTTTTAATTGATGTTTTATGTTCAATTGCCACATTAGGATTTTAGGCGGAAGATCTCCCCCACACAAAGATTTTTTAGGGTATTTTAACTAAATAAATGAAATCAAATCATTACACCAGAGGCCCCATGAGCCCCCTTCCCGACACTGAACAACATTGTGACCAGGAGGGGGGAGCACCCGTCAACGAATTATGTGCAACAATTAATTCACTATTTTCAATGATTCTAATTCAATATTACCTTTTGCCTTAGCCTTCATTTTAAGAAGAAAGGCAAGGATGAAGCAATTCAAATGTAAGCAGACAAAACTGGGTTATCTTTTTAATGTCAAATTCATGCAAATTTATTTTCAACAAGTTATTTATAATTAGCTGAATCCATGAGATTTCACCACACAACTGTAGTAAAATAACCACAGAAAAGTACTATATGTGCCTGACAAAGAAAGCAAACACCTCAAACATATTTTTCAAGTCGTTCAGTAATTATTTTTGAACAGTAATGAACTGAAAGATTTCCAAATTCTGGAACAATATTATCATTTTGAACTGTGAACACAGAGTTACATAAACAAGTTTTTGAAAATTTAATTGAAATGTTTTACATTTACCAAAATCTGTACTTCTAGTACCTTGTGAACAACAGCATAAAATCCTGCTCAATATCCAATGTAAGAAAAAAATGAAATGCATCACATACATATAATTATTATGACTGAGCATTTTTTGCCAAGACATGTCTGATGACTGTGGGACATTGCTTGTAGGTATACACTCAATAATCTTAGCATTTAAAAACACTCATTAATTTTTGAATTTAAGAAACTTGTTATGAAACATTGTCTTCTTTTGACATATCTATTGCAACTTGCAAACTAAAATGTCCAAGACAACAAACTACATGGAATTTAGTAGGTCTTGAAAATAATGTAATGAATAAATGTTGGCAGATAAGCATTAATTTTATGTTTTATCAAAATGAAGTATTAATTCTATGAAACCCGTTAAAAATAGTAAGCGATAACACACACTCCTTTCTTAACATAAACTTATAGCGTTTTAAGAGTATAGATGATTTATTATTGAGAATTGCAATGAGCATGCTGGTAGGAAGCAAACTATAAAACCATGTCAATGACTGAACAAAATTTATTTTTAAAAAATATTTTAAATATTATTTTTCTCAAATGTCAGACACACACACATAATAAACTGAGACAACACAATGAAAAATGTTTGCAAAACTAAATTTATAGTACATGCATAGAATGAATTGCAATGAGATTACTAAACAAGCAAGCATGAAACAAGGCATTTCCTTCAAACCACTCATTTTGTGTTCACCTTCAACAATTATCTTTAAATCCAATTGTGGCTCCATTACTTTCCCTACTTGGATCTCCTCCTGACTTCTTATTTGCTATCATTCTAACAGACAAAAGTATAACCACATTAACATAATGCAATTATGCTCACAATTTAGGAAACTATAGTCAGATTTCCTACCTTTCAAACTTCACAACAAAACATGATTTCATATGACAACAGTGAAAAATGTAAACAACAAAATATACATATCACTCCTTTCTAACATTATCCACATAAAATTATAAATAATTCATATTCCATGTGAAAGGAATTATGACAATAAAATGATATGCAACTTACCGTCAAAGACTTCATTTTCTTTGCCTTCGCCTGGACTTAGCCCATCTGAATCACCAAGATCCGTATGATCTGTAGGTAATACATCAAAATCTGAATCTGGCGACGTAGGTGTCATTAAGATGTCATCGTGAACACTTCCGTTAATATGCGTGTCAGTCATTATTTATGAGTATTTTGCGTATATTGGGGGTCTTCCTGCAAGGGAAGATTTTGAATAATATAAAGTTACTGTTATGAAATTTCTACAAAATTAAATTACAATCGCACAACTGACAACTAAGAACCTATCGTCTCTACACATCATCTACAACTCCATACAACACTCCTCTAAATAAGTTGCATGTGATAAAGTGTGCCAATGTTACAAGGTCTATATGATGTGTCAGCGAGAGCCCTTGAACCAATTGAGAGAGTACATTCGGCAAATTAAATCAGACAATACTAAAAATTAAACGAAACCAACGTTTTACTTGCGGTTACGGAGAAAATCTGCACAACTGTCACATAAAAAAACGACAATGACTCGATAATTGCGGTATAGAAAAAAAGATCCTGATATCACCGTACATATTAAATGTGAGCACACACTGTGATACCGCCTCCCTTCTCATTTAGATAACAATTCAACATCTTCGGAGTTATGACAGCACTAGCGCACAGTTTCCCGTTCTGGTACTGTCCCTTGTCATCGTGCACCGCGTCACATGCATCAGGCCTCGACTGCCAGGCGCCCCGTCCATATACTCTCTGGCCCCGTCTCAAGGCTACGAACTACGGCCACATACAAAGCAGATTCGCTGTACACACGGATGGGACGGGTACACGCAAGTGTGCTTGTGACGTGAAAAGCAGTGCTACCAATACTTCTATAAACACCCTACAGTGGTCATCGCCGTCTAACATTTCTTCTCAGTGTCCGTTGACGATCCGCTTAGTGTAATTTGTTAATTGACATTGGTTGTATGAATCATCTGTGAGATTCTAAAGTAAAGATAGAACATTCGGCAAGTTTAAGACATTTGAGGCATCTTTAGGAACTCTGGAAATCTCCATTAATCTGTTTAAAAGGGTGGAAAATTGGTCACGTCGGCTGGTATAGAACGTTTATATATGTTTCATAATATGGATGTTACGAAGAATACGGCAATGTTCTGGGATATCACGGTAACATCAAACGGTTTAAGTGTGTCTTCGTTCTGAGACAGTCAATTGTTTAGCAAACCCGCGTTTTGAGAAGCTGTGAAGAGCCGGGTGAGAGTGAATAAGATCATGGTCATGTTGTAGAAGGGTGCAATGGTTATTATGGAAACACCTAAATGTCGCAAACTGCGGCGAATAAAAGAATCAACGAAAAAGAAGAAACAAATACGTACCGAGGGTATGTGTAATTGATTGTGTTTGTAGAATATTACGTCCAATTGTTTTACCTTTCCTCCAACTTCCCATTGTCTTAGATTCGAGCATATTTAAAATTGAATAAAAAACTTTACCATGTGTGTTGTCAGAGTCGAGAAGTGAGGAATGTGAAAACGCTATTACATCTGCAGATGCCACTCCTCCCCACACTTCAAAATCTGTCATCATTATAGAACGAGGACATGATGAAGTTCGAGGAGTAGAGTGGCAATATCATGGAAAGTTTGTAGAATCAGATGTTCCTGTTGTGTGGGGCTCTCCTCATGGATCTCCAGTTGTAAATACAGGTTTGATCGTTATATTTATGACGAATATTGTTGGCCTGTGTTGTTTTGTTTAGTTGAATTGGTTGTTTTATTTAAATGCTCATATATATTTTTTAATCTGTTATGATAGTGCAGGCAGTATGTGAAAGTCCTGTAAGTAGACCTAAAAGAAGACCTACTAATTCAGTTCCTAGGAAATTAGATGCAGAAGAAAGTGAACCTCCACAATTTCTTAATGAAATACTTGCCTTGTCAGAGAAAATCAAAGCCGAAGAAAGTAATTTCCTCAAAAATAGTTTTTTGCAATGGGGTTTGTATTCAGATAATATCCTCTCTCTATTTTTTTTTTTTTTTTTCAGAGAACAGTGTTCAATCATCTAGCAAAACTATTCATGAAGAAAAGGAATCAAAAGCACAAAAAAGTGTATTGGATGAAAGTTTCTCTAATTTTTTCGATGAGGATATGAATGAGTGCATGTTACAATGCTCACAGGAATTGGAAGAGACATCGCTGCAAAAATCTGGCCCACCTACATCCAGTACTCTTGGTGTTAATTTCAATCGTCAAGATACCAGAAACATTAATATTGCTGAGAAAAACCAAGTACTTCGTTCCTCTCCAAGAAAGAAATTTATTTCAAATAGTACCAAATCATCTTTAAGTACATCTAAATCATCATTAAGTACATCTAATTCATCTTTAAGTACATCTTCAGGTACATTTTACCTTCAAAATAATATAAATGAAAGTGGAACTAAAGTACCACGAGTGGGAAGCAAGAATTATGTTCATGCCAAACCTAAAGGGAATACTTACGTGTTCAAAGGGCGCATTTTAGGCTCAAGAGAAAATTGTAGTGCAAGTGGCAGTGGGCAAGGAAAAATAAGCCGTTTGTTGGACAAGAGAGTTTCTTTAGATTCAAAACCGCAAACCTCTGAGAAATTGGATAGAATATCAAAATTAAGTAAATCGTGTGATTTGTCAGTAGATAACTCTTTTGAGACTGTGAAAGAATCATTTTTGGATGATGATTTGGAATTTCTTAGTACTATTGCTGATGATGTGGAAATGGTAACAGAACTGAACAGCCGAGAACCCTCTAAAAAAGTGCCTTTAAATTCATTGGAAACAAAGGAAAAGGCTAATGAGCAGCAAACAATTACTTCATCTGTTTTAGAAGATTCAACTTACTTTGAGGAAGGAGTCCTTCAATACTTGGATACAATTGAATGTAAGAAATTTAAAACTACTTTAAATCGTAATACATGTTTTTCACAGGCATTATATATCATGAATAAGTATTGTTCATTAATTAGAAATACTTGATTTCATAATGTCCGTCTTGATTCATTCTGATTGTGAGTGTATTGAATCCTTAAGCAGTTCTGTGATTGTATTGTATTCTTATTGAACTGATTTGAGTGTTTACATTATGGTTAATGTCTGAATCTGGCTTATCTGCTTAATGTTCCAATTATTCAAAATGAATGGATAGTCTGATTTAGAAACACCTTCAAAATCTGCTAATGTCAACTAAATGAAGTTGACATAAGCCAACCCAAGGAGGGTAAGTGAAGTACATTACAGTGATGAGAAATAGCAGATATTATGTAATAAACATAGATCATGCTTCTGCATTTCTAAAAATAGTGTTGTTTACAGTTCCACTGTGATAATTGTAAATTTCTATTTACAAAATATCACCTAACCTAACCTCGTATACATCATTTCCCAAGTTGAGGCCATCCTTTGCATTACCGAGTTGGTGACAAGGTGTCAGCGTTTGCAATTTACATATAACAACCTTGACATAACATTTGAATGCTAAAGCACTTACGCACTTACTCACATGATGCCTCACGCTCCGACAATTGCCTCACTTAACTGATTATGTCCAAGATGCATCAAAGTTCATCATCCACATTTTTATCTATACTGTCAGACCAATGTGTGAATTAACCAGCTACTGCTAACATTAGCCAAATTTTGGGCTTCAAACATAACGTACACCCTAAAAATAAAAAAATGGATAATGTTTTTGTTATCTCCATTTCAGTTTAATGTTCCAAGTTGGTTCTGTTTATTACTATTTTTACAATTTACATTTTTAGAAATTTTCCACATCACATATCATACGTTTAACTTCTTATACCCTCCTATTCTTGCCCTAAATTTTCGGTAATTATTCTCACTGTAGATTGGGGTATTTTACTAAATTATTTTCAAGTATGAAGTGAAGTAAAATCTTTCACAGATTGATATAATTGCATCCAAATTGATTACAGTGCAGTTACTGCATTACTGTGAATTCTGCAATTGTTCGTTCCCAAGCAAACATATTTGTATTAAACCACAATTTATCAGAAATTAATTTTGATTAGTTCATAGTATTTGTCAGTAGTAAAAAGTACCTTGAAATACAGATTCAGAAAATTAAAATATGTCTCATTTATTTTAAAATTATTAGTTTAATGTACCTTGTAACTAGGTTTTTGAAAAGAATGAGGTTTCTCTTTTAGTCTGATTTTATTAAATTTGAAGTGTGCACCAATCTAAGACAAGAAGTTTGTGCAAGGGTGAAATAAACATAGAGAAGCTGCTGAACATTAAATAATAATTCACATACCCCCTGTACAAATGTGTTTCTCCATTTCTAATGATCCTATTATTTGCTGCAGTATGAGACATTTTGTTTTTTCAGAATATCCATTGCACCCTCCTACACCTTGATTTTATTGTTTTCAAAAAGCATTCAGAAAACAATTGAAAGGCATGGAACATGTAATTGTAATTTCTTCCTGTTTAATATTCTATCACTTTCCTACATTCTTTATTACAACCATAGTATGAAACACTGATAAAATTTATCTGCCCAGACAGCGTAGTTGGGGAAGGTCACTGGGGCGGTCCACTCCAGGCGATACCAATTAAAAATTTTTTTGTTGGAATTCTTTAAAAATTATATTTCAATTATTCTGAATTACATTCAGTTTTTTAATATATTTTAAATAATTATCATATGCAAATATACTTGTATTTTTATTAAGTAATGTATAAACTATAAATATTCAGTACTAAAATATTTTTATATTTAATTTATGCTACTGCACCCACAACACACAACTTTTCCACAATGTCCTTAAAAAAATGATGATGATTTGTGGGCTTCATTTAGTGATGGTAATCTTTCCTGCATAATGAAAATATATTGACTTTCATGTCATTAAAAATTTTAATTTAAATTGGTTCCAGCAAATGTGACATCATCACAACCTCTGAGATGCACACCTGAGGAGATAGAGAAGAAACGGCAGGAGGCAAAACTGAAATTACAAAAGAAAAAGTTCTTGTCAAGAAAGTGATAAGTGTAAATGTAATCAATGTGTGGTGCTTCCATTGTCTTTCCTTTTGTATAAATATTATTTTTCCAAGCTTCATAAATGATGTCTTAGAAAGGTTTCAAACTTTTGAGAATAAAAGATATATTTTTGTTTGGTATTACCACCAGCTTAAATGTATTGACTGATTCTGTCAATCTCAATTTGTATATGTGTTTTTCTTGACAATTTTTTTGTACAGATTAATTTTGTGATAAAAACTGTTGTAACTCTATGAGGATCAATGTATATTTCTTGTCTTTTGATCATTAAAGAATAATTATAGTATTTGAAAAGAAAATAAGACTACATTTTTGTTTTAATGTGGTTGAAACTTCTAATGAAAAGAAAAGTGTACATGGAAGGAATACTTTGTGAATTGTAGAAAGGATGTGTAAATCAATATTTCAATTACCAATCTACTTTCTTACTTATCTATTGATACATGTACCCATTGCACGTGTAAAGTTTCTTTTAAGAAATAACGAGAATTCTGAAATTTTATCTTTCCCCAGAGATTTACATTAATATTGTCTCACACCTATTTTGAGTCTTCAACAGGCCCAGAAATTCCTTCTCATGTGTGATAAGATAAACCTTTACAACTTCTAGAAGGGGAGATGTTTATCTTGGCTTCAGAAGTTTCTTGTGCAATTTGAAGGTGAATGGAACTTTTGATATATTTGGAAGAAATTAATGAAACTCATCCTTGAACCACATTTTTGCTGCCAAAATGCTTAATGTAGTTGTTCTTGCTGACTATGGTAAAAAGTGCCAATAAATTAAATGTTGAATCCTTCTCTATTTCGCTCCAATAATAGAAATTAAAATTTTTAAGAACTACTCTGATTAATAAATTTGTTTAATCTTTACATGTATGAAGAAGTGCATGAATTTGCCTATTGGTAAGGAAACAAACAATGAATCCAAATTTATTGTGCAATTTAGCTTACAAATTGTAATCAGCAAATATTGAAACTCTTGCATTACAGCGTCTGATTTTTAACTGTTATTGGAAGAGAAGAGAAAAATAATATTTCTTTTATCATGTCTAGTAGTATTGGAACTTTATTTTAATCAGCTCTGTTTTAACTTCTCATTTTGAATACAAGCTAAAGTTCATAATATAAATAGATTTTTGTGTGTAATGGGTTGAAATGAGATAAAGGCCAATATAACAGACATACTATTTACATTTATTATTGCATGATAAAACTCTGTCGTTCACGTTTCGACCCTAGTATTGGGGTCGTCTTCAGGTACAATTTAAAATATTATAAAAACTACTATGTAACAATGTATATAAAGTAATGGAAGTATTATTTTTTTTTTATAAAAAGAGTTGGCTTACCTCAGTAAGGCAGCACAAAGTTCACATACAATGTGACATACAAGTAGAGCTATAGTCAAGCTAAAGAATCATCAGGAGAGATTGATGATATAACATAAACTAATGATATGAGTGCCATCCAATTAACAAAATGTAACTTATAGAATGGGCATGACAGTATGGTCAACAGTACAACCAAATTAAGATGTAGTATTTAAAATGTGACATTTGCTACATAAGATATGAATCACACAATTTGGTAGCACAACAAAAGATATAGTGAATATCTGGTGTAGAGTTAAGAGTAGGTACAAGGAATGTATACATACTATAAAAGTCGTTTCAACCCCGTTATAGCCAAAGCATTACATGATATGATTTGAAAGGGATTCAATAATTATATGTAAACACCAAGAGTGTTATGTTGGGAAACAAGGGATTGTGAGTATGTCCAAACAAACACACAATCCAAAAATAACCACTTCCACTTTTACATATATTGTTACGTAGTAGTTTTTATTGTATTTTACCATTGTACCTGAAGAAGACCCCAATACTAGGGTTTAAATGTGAACGACACAAGAGTTTTTTCATGTAATGGTTATATTGTTACTATGAGTGAAACTATTTCTGATCAGATATGTTCTGAAAAATGGCTAGATTTTTTTAATTTTTACCCCTTGTGCTTATTCCAAAAATGTTAAGCATGATTAAAACAATATCTAATATCACAGTAAATTGACAAAACATTTTTATTGAAATTGATGGCAGTCACAATAATATTTATTTAGTAGGAATACTTGGTAAATCCTTATTGCCCACTTTCATTACAAAGTCATTAATTGTTCCATTTTCAGTTGAATTACATAAACAGACTTCTTTAAAACCTTCCACACCTGATCACAGCTCTACTTACTCAAATATTTTAATTGAAACTGTAAGCTATTGAGAGAACTGTATTGTGTAACTAGAAAAAAACCATTTCTTAGCTTGATTTATGTCTACTAATGGTATGTCAGGTGTATGCTTTGATAAGGCCATTTACTGTGATTTTGTGTAAAATAAATCTAGTATCTTTAGGGATGTCGTTATTTTCTCCAGCTATACTTTTTATTATTATGCTCTGGCAAATCCTGAACTAAAACTAATTATCAAAATATGAGTAATTTAATTACGTCAAAGGAAAAACCTGAGTAGATTGTGGGAATAAAACTTCAGATACAATCAGAATTATTTGCTGCACAGTAACAACAGTTCATTTACTTTTGAACTATTATTTGCCGCAAAAACTCAGGGAAACAAGAAAGCAAGTTTGAAGATCAAATTCTCCACAATAGAGATGGCTGTGCCTGAGAGCAGATAATATATGAGATGAATCTTGAGCAAAATATGAGACATCAGAAGATACAGTCGTGTTTAGGGGCTACAAGTTATTGCTCTAATAAGCTGAAGTGATGTTACCTTTACGGTACTATTTCCTTTAAGAAAAGTTTTTTAAAAGTGAGGATGGTTTATCGCGCACCTTGGGCACCGGAATAAGAATGGAAGCTTGGCATCCGACGGATTTCGACGCGCGTACTTTTTCTTTAAAGTAGGGTAGGGATAGTGCTAAATGTAGTCTATGAAATGTCATAAATACTTTATTGTTCTATTTTTTCTTAAAAAATGGCAACAAAATACATGTTTTACTTGTCTCTCACGTTGTTAATATTTACATTGGCGGTGATTTGTTCACATTCTTCGTCGTCTCAAAGGATGTTACTCGAAAACTGAAAAGTTTTCAGTCAAAATGAACTCAAAATTCCGTTTTCAGAAACGTTTAAATGCCACTTTCTCGAAAAACAGCTACAATTTTTTCTTCTAACATTTCTATCAGATATTGCTATTTCACTGTTTCAAACATCTAATTTCAAACAACAGTTTTCTGTGGAAAAGAACTCCAAAATTCGCCTTTACAGTAACGCCTAAACGCCGTTTTCTAATAAACAGCTTCAATTTTTTCAACGAAAATTTCCTTATTGGACGAGATTTTACTATTCTATAATTTTATGAAAGTAATATTTATGTTCTATTATTAGAAATCCCAAAACGCTGAGAATCCGTTGTATCATATGAATCTGTCATATCTACGTGAACATACATAGACGATGCATATCCAGTTTGTATAAAATCATTGATGTAATCTGAAATGGACTTGATTAATTCATTTTATCTGTTCTGTCGTCTTTATACAACCATCACTTACATTAAACAGAGAAATAAATTATTTTATGTTCCATGTGAGCATCACTCGGACGGGGAGAGATGGATCAGGGCATCAACTGATGTCACTGCAGTCTCTCTGACCGGGAGGTCCTTGGTTCGAGTCCCCACAGGAACAGTATGTTAGACACTAGCTAGGTAGAATTCAGTCGTTGTCTAGAGGAGAATTCTAGCGACCAGTTGTTCTGATCCACAGTTTTCCGTGGTTTCTCTGAACAATACCACGCGAATGCCGGAGCAGTACCCTAACAAACGGGCCACATACCGCGCGCGATCTTGCCTTCCTTGTCCTATCCTCATCCTTTACACACACCTACTCTAACATGCACTACACTACCACATACCCGGAGACCGGTCGGGAGCTTAGAGCTTGTCCCGGCTGGGACGGTGCCCCGCTGGTGGAAATTATTTGGTTGGGGAAAATCCGCTAGCCGACGGTACGTCGGCGTCGGATCTCACCATACTGTGGGGGAAGACCACCGCCACTTCCCGAGCTAAAGCATGCTACACTTACAGACGACCTTAGTAGTTCATGTGCCCTGAATCACTATCAATCAACACCACGAAACCGAGTATTACTGTGGCAAAGACAGTCTACAGTCGTGGGGCATATTCGCCCCAACCATTCCACGCCTCTCGAACCCTTAAAAGGGAAATATTAACAAAAGTATGACACTCATGTTTATTGTACAGTGGTGTGCTGGTTGTGCTTTGACATCGCAGTTGCACCAAGCGCCGAATTAGAGCATGAGGAAAACCAGCGTAATTCTGGTCCCGCGTGTTCTAGGAAAACGTGACGGATTTAAATGAAGTTCCTTTCCCTACTCAGAGCATCGAAATAGATGATTGCAGTGTTTTTCAGATGCGGAAAATTTCATTGTTCCTCAGTGTAATGAGGCCAAAGATCTAATACATAATGAACTGGTACCATACTTCAATCATGTAAAAACTAGCACCAAAACAGCACTTTCCATTTTTTTCAAAATGGTTATTCTCCGATCCATCTACCTCCGTTTGAGGTCTTGCGAATTTGAAAATAAACTTTATAATTAAAATTTTCCCAAAAAGGGCTTCTTCTTTTTATTTAGATTTCTAGTTCTAGTAGAAGTTCCTCTCCAACTCCACAAAAATTGTTTTGTGGAGTCACGCCTGATGTTTAGCAATAAAAGAATGGTTCTATTGATCTAAACAACTTATCTTTTGAAGGAGATTTAACAACACATTTTGTTATTGAAGTCACTAACCGATCTATTAACGGAAAACAATTTTGTTGTAGAATTAACTGCATAAAAATGTTGATTTTTATATATGAAAGTCATTATATTTATTATTTATATATTTTTAATGATATTTCACCAAAAAATGGTACATGATACTGCAGTTCTGACTTCACATCTGAATACAGCACATGCAAATGACTAAAAGTTACTCGATTTTATACAGCGGCAAAAAATAAGCTCTCGTTAACAATTGTTGTTCAGTGTTATCCGATTATTATTAAATTACCACAGATTAACCATTTAAAGCGCAAGAAATATCGTTTAAATCAGTGAATATTTCCAGAAGCGGGTCTGAACAAACAATAAAAAAAAACGACGAATTGTAAAACGATTTTCTACCAAAGTTGGTTAAAAAGGAAAAATGATAGACATTTTAAAAACAGTAGTTGTTATTTATAAGCCCCTTTATCATAATTTGTCTCATTGACACTGTAGTAGGAGACGAGGCTCTTCATTTATTTCCCCTGACGAGCCGCCACTGATACGAAGCAAACATTTTTGAGCTGTACCCTTAGAGGAGAAAGAACAATGGTACATCTCTTCTGCAAGGGCGAGCCCCTTTCGATTGATTAGTGATTCCGGCTGCGTCAACTACAGAAGTCATTAGTCCCGTAAGTGTTATGCATTGTTTATCGCATGAAGTGGCGGCGAGCTTCATGGTGAGATCCGGCGCCGTCCTAACCGATTCGGCTTGCGAGTTTCCTCAACTACGTGTCTCCCACCAACGGAGCACCGCCCCAGCCGGGACAAGCTCTAAACTCTCGACATGTGGTAATGTATTACATGTTAATGTAAGTAAGAGATGAGAATACAAAGAAGAGGAAGAAACGTTTTGGGGTACCCTGATACCGAAAAAGTAGTTTTTCTTTCTTTCTTTCTTTCTTTCTTTCTTTTTCTTTCAAAACGTCCGTTTGTCTGTGAAGACTACTAGCGTCTAAACCATACGTAAGATTTTTTTTAATTTGAAGAAGCCCGGGTCAATCTGGCTCGAGTCGAATCTTTGAGTTTAAAAAAATCTTTAAAATTTGGGGGTATTTTACATGAAGCATTGGATTAAAAAATATTGACATTTTCAAATTTTCTCAACAACGGCTCCAAATATTTTCTTTAAACTTATAGTAGGGATAGTGCTAAATGTACTCTGTTAGATGACATTAACACGATATTGCTCTATTCTTTTGTTTTTTCAAAATTACAAAAATGTAATTTT